GTTCAGCACCAAGGTATCAGGAGGAAGGCACCAGATATCTCCCAGGAAGGTGCAAGGTGGAGATGGAGAACCCCAAACATCACCGTGCAGTTCTGTCACCCAGGGTTTGCAACATGCTTTGTTGAGGACATAATTTTTTAAAGAATGTCTCAGTGCTAACAAAATAAATAAATCAAGTGCATCACTAGCCTTTGCATTAGTCATGCACAGTGAGGTCGCCTCCTGTCAACCCTGCGTGACAGGCCCAGGACTCGGGGTCCTGCTAAGGTCCCCAGGGTCCCAGTTATAAAAGTGAATGTGATATGCTTCATGTTTAGAAAGCAGTCATTGACATTATTTCACCAAAAAACAAAGTCATCAGAGGCTGTTGACTTGAAATATTTAGATAGTCAAAAATGCAAAACTGTTTTTGATGTGTAGCTCTCAGCTGCCAGTTTAAATAAGGTCACATAAACATACGACTCAAGGACCCTCTCTTTGGTCTCCTTCGGTTCTTTGTGGGGAAGCTGACAGAGCACAGCAACTGTCCCCAGCCTTCCAGAAGCAAGTAATTAAAAACAAAAAAAGGGGGGTGGAATTTAGAAATGTTTGCTTTAAATAGTAATCTTACTAAATATGTAATGGTGGGAAGTAAATATATCAATTAATACATAACTGTTAAAATGCCACATCAAACCTACCTTCACGGCACAATAATCAAAAAATCCGGTTTCTGAAAATATGGCTACTAAGATCATCTGTAGGGAGAAGAGAAAAGGAGACAAGGAGAACCCTTCAGCGCTGTCCTGAAATGACGTGAACAGTCGCACATCTGAGCCTGGCCAGTGTGAACACCACCGAGTCATCAAGCTTCTGCTGGGGCTGCCTGAAGCCCACGTGCAACCCCCTGCCTGGCACCTCCTGCTGGAGGGTCTATTTTTATCCAGGGAGATGTGCCCAGGTATATTATCATCCATCAGACCTTCACAACAAGCCCAGGTGTTACTGTTATTCTCTGTTTCACAGACTAGGAAACTGGAGGGCAGAGACAGGAGGTGACTTGCTCCCAGTCACAGAGCAAGGGGAGAAATGGGCCAGAATGTGACCTTCTGCACCTAAACCTCCACAAAACCAGCAATTTTAAACTGCATTAAATTTGGTTCCTTAATTTATTAAACAGATTTTTGTCAGCAGTTTGATCAGGACATGCAACTAAGAGCAGTTATGCTGAAATGCTTATTCTCTGAATTCTGTACGAACTCAGAATTCCTACTCAGCTGCATTTCTTCCTGATGGTGACATTCAGATGGTGACAGTAACCATCCTAGATAGTAACAAAAAGGAACGGCCCATTGATTCCAAGTCTAATCTGCCAGCCTGAACTTTCTGGAAGGTTCTCCATTCCATTTCCTCAGATGGCAGTGTACCATGTGTTCAACGTGGGGTGAGAAGATGCAGGTTCAAATACTGAGTCTGCTTCTGAGTAGTAGTTTATTTTAACCCTGAGCAAAAAAAAAATGATTTAATCCTGTGTACTTTGTTTTCCTCACCTTGCCTCTGATGTTTTGTTCCTTGTAAGGTTGTTGTGAAAATCCAATAAAATTATGTAAATTAAAGTACTTAGAAAATAGTAGGCTATATGTTGTCTTTCAAATAAACTGAACAAAACAAAAATGTCCAAAACTCAGTTTAGACCTAGTACAAATACCTGCCTTGTCTAGAGGAACCATCATACCAACCCAAACGGCCACCGGGGCTGTTTGTGGGACGCGCTGCTTCACGGGAATGTGAACGTGAATGGGTGGGTCCTGTGTGGTCTCCCACTCTCGTGAGGAAGCTGTTCCACACATCTGCGGCCAGAACCACCCAACAGAGGCTGGAACTCAGGGATCAGGGTAATTGGCCCCATGGCTAGTTGACTGCCGTGGAATAGGGTGGAAAAGGCAGGGGCCTGCTTACATAAATTGTCTTTCCTCCCCAAAAGTTCTAGAATCATAGAAGCTTGCTGAACTGCTTCCAGCTGAAAAACTAAATAAATAAACCTCTTGTTATGAGCTGAACTGAGCCCCCACGCTTATGTTGAAATCTTAACTCCCATTACCTCCGATGTGACTCTATTACAGGAGTGACGAAGTTAAAGTGGGGCCCTAACCCAGTCTGACCACTGTCCCTATGAAAAGGGGAGATGAGGACACAGGCACACAGAGGGATGACCATGTGAGGACACAGGGAGAAGGCGGCCATCCACGTGCCCAAGAGAGAGAGGTCTTAGGAGATACCAGCCCTGCTGATACCCTGGTCTTGAATTCCAGCCTCCAGAACTGAGGAAAGAAATTCCCACTGTTCAAGCCACCATTGTATTACTTTATTAAAGCTGCCCCAGGGAACTAACAAACCATTCGTTTAAGGGTTTTTTGGGGTTTTTCTTTTTATTATTTAACAAGACATCTGGCATGCCTCCTTCTTCCTTCCAGGTGCCCAAACCCTATGTAGTTTTTAGGACCCAATACAAACATGAGTTCCTCCATGAAGCCTGACCTCAGAGCACTGCCCTGATCCTCACCCTGCCTCCACAGAAGCAGCAGCCAATTTGGGTCACACTGAAACCTAGAGTAGCAGGGCCCTCGGCTACCATCGCCGGGGTGGGGTGCGGTGGGGTGGTAAATGTTAGTGAGGAAGAAGAGGACATGTGGTGACTTGCTCTCCAGAGTGGGTGTGCAGCCCAGAGTGGGGAGCCCTCCTTCAGACTACTCTGCTGCTGCGGGGTCTTCAAGAGATCAGGAGCTGCCCCCACTACTGTCCAGGCCCCTCCAAAGTCCACTTGTCCTAGTTAAATCGGTTTATGGCTCATTTAGGGAAGCTTTCTTCCTTTATCCATACACTTACAGGTACTTTTGCATTCCTGAGACCTGTATGGTTCATTTAGTTGGGCTATTCCATTTTATATTTTAAGGGCACTAACTAAAAAAATTGGCTAAAAAATGTCAATATTATTTCACTATCAGATAGGCCATAGACTGAAATTCTCCAGCTAACTAACCAGAGCCCCAAATGTCCCATCCTCCTCAGGAGAAATTAGCTAGACCCGCACTAACACTTCTCAGTCCAGCCCTGACTGTTGGGTGGCAGAGTATTTAGTCTAATAAAGGATTAGCAGCAGCAAAAGAGAAGGTCCCAGGTCACAGCTGCCTTGGGCACATCCCCCCGGAAGGACTGTGATTACCATGCCAAACAGCAGGGCCAGGGTCTCAAAATCAATCCATTCCACCACGTGGGTCAGGCTGGGTCTCTGCAATCAAAGCACAAATTTGAAAATTAATCCTGGTGATGTCTTCTGGGTGCTGAGCTGTAAAAATGTACTGCCCTTTACAGCAAACCCGCTCCTTGGGTCAGAGTCGGAAATCACACCATTTACTGGCCTCTGAAATCAGACTACATCACCGCTGAAAACCCCTCGTGCCCCAGGCAGCATAATGTCAGGCCTATGCCTTTCGTAATAAGAAAAGCCAGTGTCTTAAATCCTATCCCTGGGACTCTAGGAAGAGCTGTAGCCTGACCTACAGGATAGCTGCTGCTACTTCCCAGGGCTGACAGCCTCACACCACTCAGCTCCATGGCCCTGGGCTAATACATGACTACAAGGAGCCTTTCCTCAGCTAAACTGGAGAATGGCAGTGTGTGTGTGTGTGTGTGTGTGTGTGTGTGTGTGTGTGTGTGTGTGTGTAAGTCAAAGGAAAATACTTATCAATGCCATGAAGGGTGTTGATATTTTTCATGCCTCTACCATGGCTCCTGAAGGGCATGTGCAAATAGCCTGTAAAAGAGTGTAAAACACCAGCTAATGTCCAATCCCTGCACTGTCTGAAGCTGACACTGTATCCAGAGGTGACCCTTCAAGTGAAACGTCACAACTTACATCACCAATGACAGCCAGCGCCGCTAGTGCCGCGAGGGAGCCCAACATGGCTGCCAGTGCTCTGTGAACAATCTGGAAAGAAACGCAGGAAGCGATTGTATTTACAGCACACAAAGGCCTGTGCTGATGTCTGTCACTGTTGGCGCTCTACAACACATCCATTAAGGCAATAAATCATGGGTCTTGCTCTTTCAGAGTCTGGACACCCCCAGAAACACACACAAGCAGCCGCAGTCAGCCTCCTAAAGATGCTGCTTTCATTTCCTGATAATTAGGTGGCCCGCAGGGTGGAAGCAGGAGGCTGAATAAAGCATGTTCTCCACGGAAGCCCGCCAGTTAATTGTCACCACTTACCATCCAATCCCTGGGCAACTGGGCCCTTAGTTCCACAACATCAATCATGCTGCCAATTACTGAGACAACTGTTAAATCAAAGGTGCACAGCCCGCACTTAATCTGATGGGACTTCGGTGTGCTCACTGAATCACAAAGGTATCTTTTCTACTTAATTATAATTTCAAATGAACATGTAATTTTTTAAGACAAAATGTGAAGAAAGTTGAGGATGTGGAGAAATTAAAACCCTCAAACATTGCTGGTGGGAATGTAAAATGGTGCAGCTATCATGAGAAACAGTTTGGCAGTTTTTTTTAAAGTTAAATAATAAATTTACCATATAACCCAGCAATCCCACTCCCACAAATCTACCCAAGAGAAATGAAAACACCTAGCCTGTTAAATTAATTAAACTAGGAGGCCATTAGACTGAGGCATCTCCAATTCCATCGCAGCCCACATAAGCAAATCAAAGCCTCAGCGTCATGCCTTGAAGTAAGAAATCGAACCCCAAGGAAAACCAATCACAAACAGCCAACATGGCTTTCCCAAATAAGGAGAATGTTAAGCTACAGCCAATCAAATCACTTCCATGTTTGCTCTACCTTTTCTCTATAAAGTCTCTCCTTGGCTCCTATCAGTGGACTACTCCTAGCACTTCCAATTTGGCACTGCCAGATTCAAATCAAGTTTTGCTCAAGTAAACTCTTAAAACTTTAATATGCCTGAGTGTATCTTTTAACAGCCTATATAAGCATGAGGGTTCATAGCTACATTATTCACAACAGGCAAAAACTAGAAACATTCCAATGTCCAACCATGGTGAATGGTTAAACAAAATGCAGTGCATGCTATGACAATGGGACTACTGATACGCATGTGTAATGGATGTACCCAAAAGGCATATGCGAAGTAGAAGAAACGAGACACGGAAGACTGTATGTTCCACTTATATGAACTGTCCAGAAAAGGCAGGTTTAGAGACAGAAAGAAGATCAGTGTTGCCTGTGGCTGGAGGTGGCAGGAGAGGTTGAATGGGCCCCAGGGATCTTTATGGGGTGATGGAACATTCTGAAATTGTACTGTGGTCATGAATGTTTGTGTCACTGCTATGGCCTGTTTGTGTCCTCCAAAATTCACATGTCGGAATTCTAACCCCAAAGATGATAGTATTAGGAGCTGGAGCCTTTAAGAGGTGAAGAGAGAGGGGCCCTCATGAGTGGGACGAATACCCTATTAAAAAAAGCTCCAGAACCCTTGCCCCTCCTGACACACGAGGACCCAGTGAGAGGTCTGTGGCCTGGAAGAGGTTCACCTGCCAGTGCTGGCACCTTGATCTTGGATCCCCAGCCTCAGAACCATGAAAAACAGAGTTCTGCTGCTTGTGAGCCACCCGGTCTGTGGCATTTTGTCACAGCAGGTCAAGCAGACTGAGATAGAAAACTGCCTGAGCAGTGAGGGTGCTGATGTGCTGATGTCTGCAGACCCTCATGCCCCCTCCTTTCTTCCTGTTGCTCTCGCTCTCCCTGCACTTCTCTTTCTCCCACATTCACCAAAGTGCCCAGGGAGAACGTGAGCCAATCAGTTCACATTTCAACATTTAAAAGCAAACTGGAAGGTGACATCAACATCATCGTGGCAGAAGTTCCTCGTTTTGTCCTCTTTCTGACAGCTAATTGGGCATCCATCCACAAAGAGAAGTGCCTCTGTGGGGACAGTGGGGTCCAGCGGCACACAGCAAGGGCCTGGGCAGAGTCTGCCCACCTGTGTGTGGGCAACAAGCACACAGACCTTGGCAGAGGCCGTGGACCAGGAGCCCGCAAGCTGCCAGCCCCTTCTGGCCACATCAGGAAACCTGGAGCTGACTGGGGCAGATGCCCGTGACAGAGCTGGTGAAGTCCAGTTTCCCGGGAGCAGTGTCCCAAGCACTGGAGCAGATGCACACACATGTAGCGTGGACACACTGGGGACAGTATAAGGAGCTAGCTGGCTCGGGCTCTCCCACAGGCAGAAAGGGGGGTGAGGGTGAGCGAGTGCCCACTCCCCCACTATGGAAATGCTGCTATAGGACCCGTTGCTGTCCCACAGTGTCCAGAGTGTAGAGGTGGGGTCTCCACACCGGCGGAGGGACAAGATCAGGAAAGAGTTGGTGAGAATAACAAAGCACGCTAAAAGAATGCGGACCCCGCTGACTTGCTCAGGACTTCAGCAGGCAGCCCGGCCACAAACCCCCAGGGGGAGCTCCCCGAGGATGCCCGCCAGGCCCAGGGCTACCCCCAGCGCCCCGGGTGCTGACCTGCCCAGCTGCCTGTGCCCAGCTTCTCTGCACACCTCTGAGTGTGGCAGGAGCCAGCTCCACTGCATCAGGGAGACAGCAGGGCCTGTGGTGGGAAGAAACCACAGAGGTGAGCTGTGGCACCACCCTCTGGATAACAGCAGACAGGTTCCCAGCAGCCAGCCTGGTGAGTTGTATGAACCAGAAAAGACACAGAAGCTTAAGAATTCCACCACAAAAAAAAAAAAAGAAGAAGAAGAAGAAGAAGAAGAAGAATTCTGCCACAAGAGGACGCAGGAAGTATGGCACAGGTGTATCTACACCAGGCCTGGAAACACCTGATGTAACAGGCCGGACAAACAGTATCTCCCACCTGGATACAAATGGGAAAAGCTGAGGAGGTGTCTGCTACCTCAAATGCCAAAGCAGCAACTCAAAATCACAAGCAATGTGAACAACCAACGGAATATGTCATCACCAAAAGATGACAATAACTCCCCAATAACCAAACTCAAAGGCATGGAATTTTGCCATCTAGCTAATAAAGAGTTCAAAACAGCTGTATTAAGGACACTCAATGAGCTACAAGAAAACACAGAAAAATAATTCAACAAAACCAGGGAAACAACACATGAACAAAATGAGTTTAACAAATGGCTAGAAATCATTAAAAGGAAAAAAAAGAGAGCCAAACAGAAATTCTGGAACTGAAGAATGCAGTGAATGAATGAAAAATGCAGCAGAAGCATCAACAGCACAGCAGACAAAGTGCAAGAGAAAGTAAGTGGCCTGGCGGGCAGGCTCTGCAATCACACATCAGACAAGAACAAAGACAAAATGAAAATGAGTGAGGAAAGCCTACGCGATCTATGGGACTCGGTCAAATGTTCACGTATTAGAATAATCGGGGTTCCTAAAACAGAAGAGAGAGAGAAGGGGAAAGGAAGTTTATTTAAAGAAATAACAGCTGACAACTTCCCAAGCCTGGGGAGAGACCTGAACATCCAACACGAAGCAAAGAGATCACCCTGTTATCTCAATGAAGAAAGACCTTCTCCAAGACACATTGTAATGAAACTGTCACAAATCAAAGCTAAGGACAGACCCCTGAGAGCAGAGACAGAAAAGAGACTGTAAGCTACATTAGGCTCTCAGCGGATTTCTCAGCAGAAACCCTACAGGCCGCAGAGAGTGGGCCTGTCTTCCAGAGCTCGTGTAGAGAGGGGGAACAGATTGGACATCAGCAAGGACTTGGGTGTGTGGACACTCCCTGTGCGGTCAGGACCGGTCAGCTCCCACTCCTTGGGCACCAGGCTGTCTGGGAAACCAACTGTGTACACCGCAGGATGTGGGTGACAGTCAGACCCTGCCCCTGCCTCTGAGAAGCAGGTCATGCTCGTGAGAGGTAAGCCAGTGACAGGAACAAAAAAGAAGCACTGGGACCCACCTCACACACACACTCAGTCACACATGCACAGAGACATACAGACACACACACTCACACACCAAACATCCTCCCAACTGATTCGTCCCTGACTGGTCATCAAACTGGGGACAAGGCCAGCCCCCTGTGAACCTCAGATTTCTTCTTATATGTAAACCCTGTACCACCCACGTGTGTGTGGACACTGGGGTCAGGAGGGCAGCCGGCTGCCTGCACACTGAAGCTCAGTGGCATATGTGTCCATGGGCACCTCCACCTTCTCCAAGAAGGTGCTGCCTGCCCCACTGATGAGTCTGGGACCTGCACACATCATCCTGTCCGTGCCCCAGTTCCTCCACCTGTGAAACACCTGTCCTATGGGATCTCCTGTGTTAGCTTCCTAGGGCTGCAGTCACCAACTGGGTGGCTTAAAACAACATGACGTATCCTTTTACAGCTCCATAGGCCAGGAGTCCAACAGGCAGCTAAGCTCAAGGTTTCCGCAGGGCGTTCCTTCTGAGGGCTCTCGGGCAAAGCCCATGTCCTCAGCTTTATAGCTTCTGAAGGCCACTGTTATCCATGACCGGTGCCCAGCAGCAGTAGCCAAGTCCTCACGTCACCTCTCCATGACCCTTACTCCATAGTCATGTCTTCCCCTGAGCACAGCTGGGAAAGGTTCGCCACCATCAAGGAACTGGGCCCACCTGGAAACCCAGGAAAGTCTTCCAAGGCCCTTAACCTAGTCACAGCTGCCTCGTCCCTGCTGCCATACAAGGTCACATAGGCACAGCTTCTGGAGATTAGGACATGGATGTCTCCGGAAGCCACTATTCAGCCATTATTCTAGTTAGTTTCTAGAAAAAAGTAACTTATGCAGTCGCCAAGCCAGACCCACAGGGACTGCTAACAGACACTGGCTCAGTCCTTGTGCAGTGAGCGTCGTCCCCCCAACCCAGAGAAGTGAGGCAGCCTGGTGAGAGGCACAGTCCCCACGACAGCCACCTAGGACCATGGCTCACTCCATCATCACCAGCATGGGCTCTGGGCAAGTGACTTGACTTGACCTGCTCACCCAGAGTGTGGGGGTGACAACAAAGCCATCTCATGGGCTGTGGGGGTCCTGAGGGCACACACAGCACTGCGCCAGCCTCTCCTGCGTCCTTGAAGTCCAAGCCCTCAGGTCTCGCTGCAGCCCCTCCTGTCCCCCACACCTGTCTGTCAGCCTTCAAACAACAGCTCACTGCCTGCCTGTGGGACAGGACACTGCCAGGGCTCCAAGACAAGCCTGCAAAATATGGGCCATTTTTCTAAGGAATTACATGCAGAAACCTTGAAATATCAATCGTGAGCTTGCCTGAAGAAACTGTAGGCAGTGAGGCCTGGCCAGGTCACAGGTCCTGTGCACCCTCCCGACTCCTTCACTGCAAAAGTGTCTCTGTAGGTCAGCAAAGGGACCTTGTGACCTCACCCACCAGCGCTCCTGCAGTTCCGAAGTCCTACTTCAGAAGAGAGAAGGAAAGCTGCCTGTGGAAGGTGATGAGGCCTGCCTGCGGAAGTCTGCCAGGTGCCACAGGAAGCAATGTGTTCCAGGAATCACGATACTGAACTCTCAGCAATGAGAAGAGGCTCGCGGACAAAAGGAAATGAACGCACTGTCATTTAAATTGCAGCCTTGCAAGCTATGACAACAAAAATGAGGAAAACAGAACTTGGGGGTTTGCACGAAAAAACAGCACTGTAGCACGGCGTTGCACTCTGAATACAGCGTCTCACTCCACATATGTTCCCACTTCTGTCAGTGGAAGTGTGGACCTCTTGGAAGTCTGAAGGCATCATTTACTCATCGCTCTTGAACTTCATTGCACAGTTAATTTTTAAAGAAAATGCTGCAAGAGCTCTGAGACTAAATACGAAAGAACCCAGAGCAAAGACACGCTCTCACACAAAAGCTGCACCATTTTGCTTGAATTAGATGAAGTGAGTGTAGGGGGGAGCCTGTGTGTTTCCAGCAGAAAGGGGCCCGCTGTGCTGATCCTCACAACATAATAACGGGGGTGGATGAAGGGCACGTGGGAAAACTTTTCCTTTATGTGGTGGAAGTTTTTTCATTAAGACTGTGTCCTGCTTTTAAGTGATTTCATACAGTATGAGGGCATCACAGCTTTAGCTACGATAATGGGATTTCCACAAGCTGCATTGGGAAATTTCCCAAAGCCCTGTTAGAGACGCAAAGTTCAAGAATTAGGGAGATCCATCCAATTTTGTTTTTTGGGGATTTTAACAAGAGCTACTTTACAAGGATGAGAGATACGCCCCAAATCCTCAGGGAAGAAAATGGCACTCAGCATTACCTGCAGAAATGTAAATAACTAAGGAGCATCCTGAATGATTTCACCCCAACAAGTTACTAAAGGCTGATGTTTTGCTCGAATCAGTTTCCTGCAGGTCAGAGACAGGTGGTGCCCCTGCTCCCAGGAGCCAGGTCAGACCAGACCCAGAATAGGGCCTGGGCACCTGCTCAACACCTGGAGATGCTCTGGAAACATTCCTGTCTGGTGAGCATTTATGGAGCACTTCCTCTGTGCCACGTGCTGTCTGAGTCCACGCTGATAGAACCGGCAGACAGCATACAGAAGTGAGGGAAGTTGATGGCACACTAGAGTGGCAGTGTGACAAACTGACGGCAGAGCAGGACAAAAAGGGAGGGGCGTCTGGTGTGTCTGGCAAGCTGCTGGCAGCAGCGGAGGGGGGTGGCAGGCCAGTGGGTCTGCAGGCTACCTGGGTGGGGCGGGTACAAGCTGAGAGTGATTGCCCCCAGGGTCTAGAGACCTCGGGCTCTGGGAAAGCACTCTGCCCAAAGACGCAGGGCAGTTTGAGTCCTCGCCTAAGGCAAACCTACCCCTGGGTGGGCCCTGGGGGTGCTGCAATGTTTCCTTTGACCTGGAAAGCCCGCAGGGCTGGGGTACACATCCAGCCCCCACTCAAAATGCAGGACTTCCCCAGTCGGGGCATCTGGAGGGAATTCTGGGAGCACAGAAGTTACAGGAACACAAGGTCCAAAATACCATTCATTCTCTAACAACTCTGCAATGTCACCCTCCTTCTACATCAAACTACAGACACAACAAAATAATAGAGGAATTTTTTTCAAGAACAAATTGACACTGGACTGCATTTTTTAAATTACTAGTGACTATAGCTGATGAAAGCACATTGAATTTATTAAATCTGTAAGTTCAAAGTGATATTCAGGAAAGCAGAAAAGAGACATGAAATAAGCTCAGGGACTCCACTGGAAGTTCCTAAGGCAATAATTCATTACTATGAAGATCAACAAGTAAAATAATTTATCTCATGTATCTGGCATAAACTGTGATTCACATTAATAAAATTAGATAGGAGAGAGTCCTTTAGTACAGAGTGACTCATTTATGAGTGCAGATGAAATGACAGAATTAGTTTATTGCACACATGACTGAAGTAACTGGGTCAGTCCCTGACAGATATAGGAACCACTAGGAGCTACTGCTGCTCAGCTGTGCCGTCTGTACATGCAAGAGGCCACCTGACTCAGAATGAGGGCTTCTGTCCATGGTGCTGAAAGCAAACAGTCTCCCACAGGATCTGCTACTGAACAAGTTCATGTGTTGTAATGTCTGTAATAAATCAATTACCTTTTGGCAGAAAAAAAAAACATTAGGAGCAAAGGTAACAGGGAGTTTGACAATAAATGATCCTGGCTGCCACCACGTAACCTCAGTGAGTAACCTCAGCCTCCCTGAAAGGGGACATCTAGACGTCACACTCCTCCTGATACAATTCAAACTCCCAGCACACCTGGAACTATGTGGACCCCCAAGCAGTGCCTGAAGCCTTCGGATTGTAGCCTGTAAGGCAAAGAGGGCACAGACGAACAAATTAATCCCACCAGCCTGATCCAGGGTGAGGGAAGTCTGCACAATAATGAGACAGGGTTTCCACCAGGTAGGGAGCAGTGGACCTGTCTGTGCAGGCCTGATGTTGCTGTCACTAAAAGGGTCTTTAGAGGGGCTGCTGCAGGGCTGGCCCAGAGCTGGCGTCTGGGTGCTTGGCTTTTGGAATGCTCCCTACATCACCAAGTGCTAAGGTTGTTTGTGTGCCTGCTGTGCCAGTGTGCCTAGGCTGCCTGTATCAAAATGTGATTTATGGTGAACTGCTCTCCTGCCAGGAGTCAGGGACTTTGGTGAGCTGAGGGTCCCATGTGTGACAAGCCCCCAACTAAAGTCCTGATTCTTCCAGACTCTGCCTAACAAGTCCTTTCCCACTGCTGGTCATGGTAGCAAACCACAGCCCAGAGCACAGCCTCTGAGTCTACGAGTCCTTCTAGAAAATCACACAGGATGTGGGTGGTTATGGGAACCCCAAAACGATGATAATGTTGATTGAAAACAGAATGAGAATGGAGAGAATAGAGCTACTTGAGACTAACACAGACACGGAGCTATAAGAGCTAAACCAGTGAGTGGAGCTTGGTTGGACGTTGAGGCTCAACTTCCCAAAGCCAATTCCTCATTAGGTCGACTAAACAACCGTACGCAAACTTCTGGAACATTCCTCCCACAGGCCGTCTATGTGACGGCACCCTGTGTTATTCTGAGCTCGGTGAGAAATGCCCCTTCGGAGTCACAACTTCTGCCGACTTTCCAACATTCCATGTGTCTCCATAAATCTGGTTTCACAATTAAATCAGCAATGGACCTCCCAGCCCAGTGTGTGCACCTTGCCTCGTGATATCAAAGGCAGAGCCACACTCACAGTTTCCCAGAGACACCAAGTCTGCAGACACAAGACCGTCTGTGAACAGGCTCATCAGTTGAGTGGATAATCATAAGACAAGCCTTCTGCACACACAGCCCAGGGCTCCCAAGTCCCCACCATGTAACACCACCCCATGGAGAAGGCAGGGGCATTGAAACGTGCTCGTCCTACGATAAAGGCCCTGTGCCCCAGCATTCAACACTTGTCCCCTTAAGTTCACACTTTGGGGGCATCAGAGGAGGGTGTGAGGAAATCACATGCACATTCACTTTTCTCTGATGCACTATCGCTGGTGCCTGACAGGAGCCATCTTGCACACCAGCTGCCAAAACTGAGCAGGTGTCCAGTACGGGCAGCCTCCTACCTAGACTGAGGGGCAGGTCAAGTCTTAGAAAAGAGACCTCTGCAGTCTGGTCAGGAGGCAGGACTGAGCCCACTCAGGGCACCCAGCAGGCTGACGCACACTTACTTGTGGGCACAGACGAGTCTAGAAGAACAAACATGAACGTTACCTCGAATATAATGAGCATGTACACCGCGGCCAGGATGGCTGCAGCCACGATCACTTGTGCCTCCACGCTCGCACGGAGGTACTGATGAGCCATCAAAAGAGGAACAAGCTGGGTCTGCTGCAGGGAGGCTCGGATGCTGATGGAAACAGTTTCTCTGCAGAGTAAATAATAATTCCAGATGGTAAAGGAGGCAGACCTATGCCATCAATTCACGTGTGTTCCCTCGGGGTCCCTCCCAACACAAGTCGCCCATGACCGTAACTGAGCTGATGAGCTGATGTCTCATGACTCGGCCCAATTCCCAACCTGGCCAATGAGGTGTTCTGAACACAGGTGAGGATATGAGATGCAGCACACAGTCCACCCCGTGGCCACTGCAGGCGCCGCCCCACAGTTTACAGGGAGCGGGGACAAGGCTCACTGCTTCACCTGCTAACAAACAGCAAAGCCAACTTCTCACATGTGAGAGAATCAGAAAGGGCCATGTGCAACCTGAGAACCCACAGCCAGGTTGTTGCTGACAGAGGGGAAAGTGCCAGGAGCAAGAAGCACATGAGGAGCCAGCACTGTGTGGCGTGCTGAACCAGAAGTCTCTGCTCAGAGTTCAGGCAGTCACTATTCTGAGCTGAACCGTGCCCCCCACCACAAAATTCCTATGCTGACATCCTAACCCTCAGGATCTCAGAATGTGACCATACTTGGAGACAGGGTCTTTGCAGTTGTGATTAAGTAAACATGGGTGGGTCTTAATGCAACATGACTGGTGTCCTTATAAGAGGAGATTGGGACACAGACAGGCTCAGAGGGACCACCATGTGAAGGCAAAGAGAGAAGAGGGCCATCTGCACGCCAAGGAGAGAGGCCTCAGGAGAGAAGAACCCTGCTGATACCTTGAGAAAATCAATTTCTATGGCTTAAGTCTCCCAGTGTGCGGGCCTAGCAAACAGCAACCAAGAGTACAGAATTAATATGGAGAGACATTAAAGAAAAAAAGAAGGAATCCTAAATTTCCTAAAATTCCCCATTGTAGACCTCATGATATTAATGAAATTAAAGAATAATCTATAATATCACTTGCTTCAAAATGGACCCTGTGATCAAGCCTCTCACTTCCCGATGGGTGTGGTTATGACACCCTCCTGCACCCTTTGTGTTCACTCTCTAAATAGGGAGAGCATCTTGGCCAAGGCACGTAACTAATCTGGTGCTATGTGTGCCAAAAATTAGGGTTGCACAGGTCAAACTTCTTTAGGTGAGAGTGTCCCAGAGGACTGCCCCCCGAGACCTCAGTCACCTGAGACCCACCTGCTCAGCACCTCAAAGGTCCTGCTCACCACTAAGCGATCGCTTCTTCTTGGATTTAAAAATACTGTCCAGTTGTGAGTGACCTGTAGAAGTCAAGTGTAAAATCGTGGTAAGGCTTTGAACTTGATCCGTTACCCAGATCCAGTGCTATCAGCACAGGTGCTTGTTTAACATAAGAAGAGAGGACCACAAGGCCTTTCACTCATTCCCATGTCCCTGACACTAGAGCTCATCCAGGTTGAACTTGATTTCCTATGAGAAAAAGGAAACAGCTCCAGGTCTTGGAGACCTGGAATCTTCTGAGCCCGCGGGGCAATGCAGGGGACACCTGCTTGCAACCTGGAGCAGGTGGGAGGGAGGCCCACCCTGCTCGGCCCTCCTGAGCAGGGGACCAGATGTGAGCAGAGAAGGAGGGGCTGGTGGGCTGGGGACAGTCAGAGGGAGGACGGGAGTCTTGCTGACCACAGTCACAGAGGAAATTGAAACCAGGAACTAAAATTTGTCAAAGCATGGGCGAGAGAACAGAGATTCTCTTAAAACACTTTGGTGTTTGGAAGAAGCGTATGGAAAACACCCTTCAGTGAAGATCTCTTGTGTTCTTTCCGTTTTGCAGCTGGACTTGTGCGGACCCTGGGGCAGGGCCTGATACAGCTGTGGGCTGGCAGCTATGTGTATGTCAGCAGGCTGCTGAACCTCGTCCTTCCCAGGGAGCTCTTGCCCACGGCTGTGCCCTGCACATGGGGAAGCCACGCTGTGTCCCAGGACCATGGCCAGGGCCACTGCTGTAGAACAGCGGGGCCATGCCAGCCATTGCCCATGAAACTGCAGCCTCGTTCATAGTAAGACCTCTGCTCTGTGGGCCCGACTCCGTGGCAGGAAATTGTAGGGCATACCAACACTCCAGACGCTCCGTTTTGGATGACAGCCCAGTGTGCTGGCAGGCTTTTCTCCTATTGGTCATACTAGGGAAAGCCATGACCTGGGGATATGACTTCAAACAGAAGTCACCATGATAATCCAGGGCAGTCACCAAGGCTAGGACTCAGGGGACAGCTCAGGGCACAGGGGGGCCGGGCCTTGTCTGGGCTCTGGACCACGGTGACAATGCGGCTGGCGGTCCTTGTCTTCTCAGGTTGTGAGCTGAAGACCTCAGCTCGGAGACGCTGAGCACGGGACCATTCGCTGTAGAAGCAGAAACTTGGGGAAACTATGCATTCTCAGCCAAGTGTCCCCAAGCCCAGGGAAGCGGGGGTGTGGGAGTGTCCCCTGTACCGTGAGGGAAGGCCCGGGTTTAACTGACTTAGAGAAAAGGGGAAAGAGAAGTTCAGAGACAAAGCAAAAGAAGTCAGGGCTTGCCTGGCGATGGTGCCATTGCCCATGGCTCCCCATCAAATCCATTCAGGAGGAAACTGAATGTATAAAGAGAGGAAGTGGGCTTTGCCACCCCTTTCAAATAACTTAGAATGTGACCTGCTGTGGCCGCCGCCGCCTGGAGCCTGGAGCCTCGGCCTGGGTCACCTCCACAACAACGTGCTCGTCTCTCCCGGTATGACTCCGGCCGCCGACCTCCAGGGCCCCTGCCAAGTCCACCTGAAGCAGCGTGGAGTCTGCACGGCTGCTGAGGTTCGCAGCTGGGGGTATGTCAAGGTAAGCCAGAGCAAGGACAGGCCAGGGTCCCCCACCAGCCGCCCACACCCCTCCTCAAAAGGACAAGAACCAGCAGTTCCCTCCAACTGCACGACCGCCTGATCAACCACGCCTTATGCCCCAGCCCCTCACTCCTGACACAGCTGGTTTTGCAGCATTTAGTCACGTCCGTCTGGAGTCCTCTGGTTTGACCTCTACGTGGTGTCTCCCCATCCTATTGTCACCTCTGCTTCCACCTCCTACAGCCTGCCTCCAATTCCTCCCCGAGTTCCTGGACCCACAGGGAGGGGTAGACAGGACAGCTGTGTGAATAACAGACAAGCCTGCCCACATGCACGCCCAACTCCTCACCTGCGAGTTGAGCCACCACAAAGAGAACTAAAACTAGGAATTCTGAAATCGGCAAAGTGATGTCCACAGACAGTAAGGTGTGCTCATCTCCAAGCTTAAACACTGCTGGCCTCCGCGCTATGGACTGAAAGTCCATGTCCCCCCATACCTACAAGGCCTGCCCCCCACTGTGGCTGTATTTGGAGATGGGGCCTCTAAGGAAGCAGCTGAGCTTAAAGGAGGTGATGGGGGAAGGTTGCATTCTGACAGGATCAGTGTCTCTATCAGAAGAGACACCAGAGCTCGCTGTCTGTCCACACACCAAGGAAAGACCTGTGAGGACACAGCAGGAAGGCAGCCGTCTGCAGGCCAGAAAAAGACATCTCACCAGAAACTAAATCAGCCGACACCCTGATCTTGAACTTCCAGCCTCCAAAATTGTGAGAAATAAATGTCTCTTGTCCAAGCCACACAGTCTGCTGTTTTTGTCACAGCAGCCAGAACTGACAAATACACTCACAATCTCATTCCTACATGACACGTTTGCCTTTTAATGACAAAGTCTGAGGCCTACAAAAGGCAAGAGCCAAGCCATCATCACACCCAGAAGACCGAGCCAGGAAAAGAACCAGTGAACTTGAAGGTGGGTCAGCAGAAACCACCGAAGCTGAAACCGAAGGAAGTGAGAGGGGCCCCGGGGAGGCCAGGACCTAACCGGATGCACCACGGCCGCCATCACCCTCGTGGGAGTGTCACCAACCACCTAGTACGGTCTCACCAACTGCTCCTTCCCCTTTCATTCAATAAAGGTCCTACCTGCCTGTGCTGTGAGCTTTGGCAGTTGTAACAGTCCTTAGGTGTCTCTGGGCTTGTGAATCTCAAATACGGACAACCGTCCGTGTCAGTATACGGTGTGGATACAGTAGCTTTCCAGGGGCGACACGGCCAACAGCTGCCAGAACTTTCCTTGATCTGGATACAGGCTAAATGAAATCTGTAACAATGAGAAGCAGTTACTAATAGATTTGTGGTATGAGAGCAATAGAAGTTAAATAATTTGGTAACAGGTGGGAATAGGGTTATGATAATGGTGCTGACTGATGTATCTGAAACGCGCCAGCTTCCTCTGAAGAGCTTTTCTTAGATGTTAGGATAAAATTCCAATCCATTATGCTGTTTTCAGCTACAATGGGCCTAGATTATTGGTATTTGCTAATTTGAGGATTAATTACCCAGCCACAAAATTAAACCATCAGAGGTGGGTAAATGCGGTTTTCCCCCCATGGAGAGCAGGGGGGACTATGTGATGGGGGGGAGGACACATTGGTGAGATTGGCAGAGCACCTTAAACACCATTAGAAAGTAAATTAAAGTGACGATACCATGACAGACAATAGCAGTTCGAAACTAATTCCTCAGATTCCATTTAGACTGCGTCGCAAAGATGCCCAAACTCCATCTGCCAGAGGATGAAGACTGGACACAGAGCTCAGATCCGCTCTTAGGGCATCCGGGGAGACCTGGCCCACCCTGGCCTCCTCCTGGGAAATCTCAGTGCGCCCACACACCAGGCCTGGCCAGCCAGCAAGGGCTACAGAACCACAGCTGTGTGAGCAGGAAGCAGAGAGGCAAATGGGCAGCCAAACAGGGAAAACCATCCAGTTCTCAGAGTCTCCTGTGTTTGTTTCTCGCACAGCCTCCCTTTCTCCAGGCCCAGGAGGAGCTCTCCCTGTGCATTATTAAAGAGCTGCCTTACGCAATTCAGTGCAGTCAGCACTGTGTTCACATGTGGCATGCACCGCTGCTTCTTCATGTCATGCTGAGGAGGCTCATGGTCACATACACTGAGCCCCAACCCTCACACCCACACTTGCAGGTAATGAAAACCAAGTATTCACAGCCACCATGAACATGCACACAACTTCCAGTCACACGGTCGTCACCATGGGCTCCCTGCACAGAAGCACACCTAGCCCCAGGGTCACACCCATCCTGGAGTCCACATGGCAGTCACAGAAACACCGGTCCCGCACCCCATCCTCTGTCACAATCCCAGACCCTGTCACAGCAGCATGCACCAAACACCCAGCGGGGTCTCCTGATAAAGGTACACACAAAGCATCTTATGTCAATCCTAACATTTGACGCTTACCCAGAAATGACTCCCCAAGCACAGACATGACCCCAAAATGGCCACAGATCACAAATGATGCACATGTCACAAACGGGCACACACACAGAGATACACACCACCACACACAGGGTCCACGCACCTATTCATTCAGCAAATATATTGTGAGTGCCTGCGATGTGATCATGGCTAAGACTGCATCAAGACACACAAAGGCCAGCAGCGAGACACACTCCCTCACGACGGAGTGCACACTCATGTGCCTCCAGAAACTTGCAACCCTCACGGTGGATGTATGGGCAAGTAAAATCGGAGTAAACAGTAAAAACAGGGTGGCCCCATTGGGCAGAGGCCCAGGGCACCAACTCAAAAGGGACCTGGGCCACCCATGTTTGCTGGACATGTCCCAACACAAATAAATGATGTTTACTTCATGTGGCTGAAAGAGAATTTAGTAAGGCACTTGAGGTGGGAAATAAGACCCAGGGTGCAAGCTAACTGCCTTCTGGAGAGCAAAGCCAGGTCGCCAGGGCTTTTGTTGTGTGACTGGGGACAAGGGCAGAGGAGTATTGCTAAGGGCAGGCCTCCCCCGCCACCCCCAGCTCACCATCCCACACGCCTTCAGCATCTCCTCCACAGAAATGTGTAAGTCCCACACTGAGACACCCTGCCACCCAGCCCAAAGCACCAGGGGTCTGCTGAACCCACAGCAGAGCCCCCCGGGGCGTGGTACTCACGGAGCACACCACCACAAAGACAAACAGCCCCATGACTTTCAGCCACCGCACACAGTGCCTGCAAGAGAAAAGGCAGGCGCCAAGTCACATGGTAACAGTACTGTCTGCATGTCCCAGATCTGCCACACCCCTTGCTGAAGCCTTGGGTCATCTCCATCTCAAAGCCCGTGTTTGGAACTCTTCCCATAGATGGCATGAAAGAGCTCACCACAACCAGTAAACCTACTGCCTCATGGAAGGCAGCTCAGTGGGAACAAGTTAACCCCAAGCGTTTGCACCAGCTTGTTGCCAGAGATGCTAAGTTGAAGGTCTGAGACTCTTCACTAGCCTTTAAAGGCTCCAGTTTCCTGAAAACAAGCCTTATCTTGGCTGTCAGATTCGTATTTATCAACTATTTTCCTCTAAGTTTTCTGAAAGGTGGGAATATGGATCTGATCATCAACTATAAACACACTGAGACACAACCAAACAATTCAAGAAAAAAAATTGCAATGCTGTAACAGGTTTGTAACTAGCAGAGCCTTTCAAAAATTTCTTAGGAGATAATTGAAGAGACAACCAGGCGACACGCTGGGCCCCTGAGGACTCCTGATGCTCTGGGCCCAGTTCCCATACACATTAACAGTGGGTGCAGGCCCTGGGTCAACCTGGGTCTGGGCACCCTCTGCGCCCCTCCAGCCCCACCTGTGCTCCGATCACCCACTAGGCCCAGCAGAGCCATCTCCCAGTGATACCCTCCCCAGCCGACCCTGGGGTGTGCTCTCCCACTGGCCACTCCCTACGGGCAGGCACTGAGTTGTTTTGCTGTGTCTCTGCACACGGAGGGCACTGGCACTCAGTCACAGGGACTGCTGAGCCAGTGCACTCTACCTGCAGACCTCACAGGTGGGCAGGAGAGGAGCAACTCTTAGACATTTAATCTGTAATGGACTCTGTGGTGGCCCATTCGCAGTGCCGCCTGATATGTCTTCCAGGAAAGGTGTGTCACCGTGTGGGCTGGGGAGGATGGCCTGATCGCTGTCCTACCTCGGCCTGGAGAGGTGAAGCCTGCCAGGGGCGCCCACCGGAAGCTCCCGCCTCTCCGAGGAGCCCACTGCCTCCTCGCTCTGCCCCTCCCACTCCACCAAGCCGCTCTCCCATGATGCCTCAGGCGTGACAGCCTCTGGAAGGTCAGTGGGCATGCACTGTGACCTGGAAAGCATGGCTTCTAGGTTATTCCCATGGAAACAGCAGCATCTGCAAGACAAGAGCTCGTGTCAGCGGGGATCTGTGAAATGAGGGGTTGGCCCTGCTGCAGTAGAGCTGGTGCATGGGGTCTGCTCTCTCTTGACACCCCAGAACCTCTGGCTAATGGGGAATCTTCTGGGGTCACTCAGATCCTCAAAATACTTTGGGAACCTTCAAGAAACATCAGTTTGTTCTGAGTTTAGGACCTACAACAAAGCCATTTCTGGCTTAGACCAGCTCCTGCTCATGTCTGTATTTGCTTCCTCTTGGAATGTGCTGGAGTTGATGGGCCCTCATCCTGTGGGACACTCACCCTGAAGTGGGGCACGTGGCCTAAGCCTTCCTCACCTTAATGGACCAGCAGGGAAGGCGTTCTCCCCAGCCTTCCCACCGACATCCACACAACATGAGCAGAAGTGAGGACAGCAGTGCCAGACCAGATGGGCCCAAGAACCAGAGCTACTCTACAAGGATGAATCAAGGGCAGTCACAGACTCTCATCAGGGTTACATGTGGATACGTCCATTTACTTTTGGTTGAATCCCAGGGCTTCTGAGAATTCCCTCGGCATAGATGCACTTGACTCTAGTAAGGTTGCACCAAAGTCTAGACTTTTCATGTATTGCATGGAATATTCATGGGACCACAATACTGACATTACAATCGTCACAATCTGTAGAAGTGGGTGCTGCCACTCAAAGCCAGCTGCCCACAGGGCATTGTGATTCTCCTGAACAGTTGTCACTGCTTTACAGCTGGTTCACAGCAAGAAAAAAAATAGCCTTATTCAGAAGGACAGGCCCAGAGACACAAATCAGGCTGTGCAAAACCAATATGTAACAAGAACAAATGATGTTGACAATGTGCAAACTTTGAAAGTAATCAGTAATCTTTTCTAAGAGTTTTGTGACCCGGAGATACTCAGATGTGTGAGGAATAATATCACAACCCCCTCAACTTCTGAACAAACACAACTGTAACTAAAATTGGAACAAAGGAAACCATTTTATTATAAGTAAAAAGAGGAAAGCTAACATCAGTGTGTCTGGAGCAATGCTATGTGCTAGAACTTTCTTTGGTGGTGGGGATGAATAGTCTCTGCCCTGTGCAGCATGATGGCCACATGTGCTCACTGGCCACTTAAAATGTGCACTGCAGACTTGAATTTTTATTTCATTAATTTTAATGAATTTAACTTTGAATAACCACATGTGACAAGTGGCCACCATGCTGGTTAGTGCCAGTGCAGGGCATGCTCTGAGCCTTGTGCCATTAGCTGTACATCCCCACCCTCCACACCCTGAAAAGGACACATTATTTTCTGAAAATATGTAAATCAATGGGTGTTATCTTAATAAGCTATTTGATCAAATTAAAACTGCAACAAGTGCTCGCTTTGGCAGCACATATACTAAAATTGGAACGATACAGAGAAGATTAGCATGGCCCCTGCGCAAGGATGACATGCAAATTCGTGAAGTGTTCCATATTAAAAAACAAACAAACAAACAAACAAAAACCTGCAACAAATTAAGGTGGCCAAACATAAAGCATTAAAAAGTCCTGCCCATGACCAAGACCTCAATTTGCTTCATGCAAAAAAAAAAAGAAAAAAGAGGGGGAGAAACAATTTGTAAGCAAACCTGACCCATGTTCTCCTCCTTTGAAGTGGATTTTGTGACGTTTTCTGACATAAGGCACAGCTCGGCATCCTGGGCCATGTCTCTGTGCGCACAGGCCCGGGACAAACACTTACTTGCACATTATGGCTTTCCAATGAATCATTACTTGTAAAATGTCTCAGGCCTTAACAGCTTACCAAGTAATTCAAAGGAAAGCATTAAGGGAACAGATGTGTGAAGTGTTTGGTTTCAAAGTTATTGATTAGGAGAGATGGAGGAGAATCAAGTCATCCCTTTGGTGGCAGGAGGCCATGCTGGGCACTGGGACATGGGATGAAGAGGACACCAGCTGGCAGGTTCTCCAGTAAGGGCATGGTGCAGTATTTGAGGGCACAGAAGAAGCAGTGACTCTTGGGAGAGTTGGGGGGAAGCCAAGGCTTCACAAAGGAGGTGACGTCTGAGCCCCCTTGAACTTGAATGGGCTGCCCTGATGAGCCAGAGAGGGGAGGAGGTTGCTCTTGTCCAAGGGCTTGGTGAGCACTTTTCCAGGGAGATACCTGTCCTCACAGGGCCCCTGGAGGGAGCCAAATCATCTCTGCACTGTCGGGTGATAAGTCCAGGTTCCCACACCCCATCCAAATCCCATGAACCTGAGACTTTGGAAGGCAAGGCCAGGAGCCCGCGTGGCATATGAGTATTCCCAGAGGGTCCTAGCACGCCCTAAAGAGTGAAGGCCCCCACAGCACAGTTGCAGACAGGACTGGGGAGAGGAGAGGGTGGGCTCCTCAGAGGCCATGGGGGGAGGTGGGTGCAGGAGACCCAGCAGCCTGCCCGCCCACACAGGTGCAAAAGGTCAGCCGGCTGGAGAGGTAGGGTCACCAAGTCTGTAATGTGAGGGGAGCCCGGGGACACCAAGCAGGTGGTGGCTCTGACTTCCAGAAGTTAATCTGCAGAAGGAAGAGGAGATGAGGCTGGAGGCCTAGACCAGGCCCTTCATCCTGAAGGAGAGTCTGTAAGTTTTCCTGCAAGTCGGCTCTGCTCAGGACATTCCAGAGCCACCCAGATTCATCCCCCAAAGGGCCATCCAGCTTTCAGGAAGTGGAGATTTCTTTTGAATCATACACGTTCAGCCTCATCACTATTGGCATTTGAGCCAGATAATTCTTTGTTGTGGAAGCTGTCCTGTGTTGTGGGATGTTTAGCAGAGTCCCTGGCCTCTCCCCTAAATGCTAGCAGCACCACTCCCCGACTTGTGACAACAGAAAATAGCCTAAGACATTTCCAAGCTCAGCCCCGGCTGAGAAGGCCTGGCCTGGTGAGATGGTCTGGCAGAGCTGTGTGCATGCATGACTGCACATGTGCTATTTAATCACCGCAGGGTCATGCTCGAGGTCACATAGAAATTCATAAGCCACGCAAAACAACCACTAGAATCATGAGCATCTACTACTTTGAGCTGACAAGGATCTGGCAGAGACCAAATATGTCAGGTAAAAAAATTCCCAACTCAGGCAGAAATTCTCCAGCATAAGGGCTGAGGGCAATGCTCAGAGGTTTCTTCATTTTATAAGATGGACAAAAACAAAACAAACAAACAAAAAACTCACCCATTCTCTTGTGAGGAATTCCTCAGCAAAGGGGTACTTTCTGTAAAGCAAGGGTCTCCGGACCTGGAGCTGAAGAACTGGGGTAAAGGAGAGCGACACCTGAAAGACACAGTGAAGAGAAAGGGATCCCCAACAAAAAACGGCAGGTCTCAGGCTGGTCGAGTGGCGCGATGGTTAAGAGCTGGCTGGGACGCCAGAGGGCCCCGGTTCGGATCCCACATATGAGGACCAGTGACACTGCCCTCCACAGCTAAGATGCTGAACAACAGCTCAACCTGGAGCTGGGCTGCTGTGAGTCGCCGGTGACGGCATAGGCTGCAGCC